CATGCTGGCTGGGGAATTCTGGGAGTTGAAGTCCACTCATCTTAAAGGGGCCAAGTTTGGACAACACTGGTTAAAAGCCTTTCTGGCGTGTACTGATATTTTGTTGTTGCAAAACTTCTGAGTGTTTTTAAAGAGTTTGAGTCTAAGTATGTAGTACATAATGGTTCATTTCTTTATGTATTTTAAGGACACTTAGATCCTGTCCTTTGATCAATAATTCTCAATAACTCTAATTATGCTAGAATGCAGTAACAACAGAACATGTGTCTATTCATACACACAGATTCCAAATCTACATACTAAGAGATGCAGCCAAAATACTGCAGGCAATTATTAGAAGTAGTGGACTTTCTTTCTGCCAGGGAAGGGGAAAAAAGTTTGCTGCAGCTACTTTTTCTGATATAAAGTCAGGCCGTATATAAACAGAGAGCTGCTTATAGCCCTGAATACTAAAAATTCCAGTAAATCCCTCAAATCCAATTCAAAAATATAGCTGACTAACATCAGGGAACTACTGAATAGAAAGATCCTTAACATTTCCTAAGGAAATAAACCTCTAAAAACAGTGCTATACAAAGAGAAGGCTTGACTTTGTTCCTTTACCAATTTTACACTGTAGGTTAATAAAATGAAGTAAAGCCTCCACAACTGATTTCAGATAAAGAGAGAGATTTCCTACAATAAATTGGGAATGTGGCTGTAAATCAACCGTCATCTTGGTCTAAATTAAAGTTTATGCCATCTATATCAAAAGATAGGCAAAAGGAATCTACTACCTACAATATCTACCCCACTTATGGAGTGTCTTAAACATTTAACCAGATTGTCACATGGGATTTTTTTAAGTTACTAATGCTGACTTTAAAATGTCAATAGTTTTAAAAATCAAACTTACAAGCTCTGTATAATATGGTACAAATAGCGGAGGAAACATACTGAAAATGCAAGTCTATAATAACTTCCAAACATCATGGCATAAAATTATGACAGCAATAAATACTTGGGAAAAATGAAGAAAGGACCCTGTGGACAAGTGACTTCTCTTATCCCATCACCTTTTTTTCTATCCTGTTACTGAAGCTTCTAGTACCCAGTTGGCTGACACCAGAACACTCTTGATGCTGTTACTCCTCTGCATGTTGAAAGGGGAGAAGGGCTAACTGAACCAGTTTCTTTGTCATGTAACCAGTGTAGCTATGTAAGATCCAGCCCATTGACTTCAATGGAATCCTGAGAATTTAAATCAGAAGAGGATCTCCTTTTTTCTGTTTTTGTATGTTGTGAAATGTCTGAAGTGTTCTCTCAGTTCTGTATTGATTTAAATGTTACATTTCTTAAATTGATTTTTTGTTCCTTTTTGTTCCTTAAATGGAAATTATTAATAATCATTGTTTTTATATGTCTTTTGTGACATGAGGATCACTCAGGAGGAATAGGCGAGCCAGACTCCCTCCCCCTATTCTAAATTATTACACTGATTTTTTTCCCGCATAAAGCCAAATTATTGAGTTTACAGCTGCAGCTAGGCAAATGATTCTTCCACTGTTCCTGCACTTTATTCTTTCAGAAACCAACCCTACGCCAATTTAGATCAAATTTTATTTCACCACTAGAGCAGCTGTAGAAGGTGACATCCTGAGTGAGCATTTGTTGCTTAAAGCAAAAAAAGAAAACAAATCTCCTTTGTGATTCTGTTCTCTGTAGCATTTCTCCCACTCACAGGGAGTGTTACATCACTCGCCATCCCCGCTGTTATTTTAATTGTAAGGGATACAGTCTTACTGGGGGAGAATATTGGATCAGGCTAAAGGGTGCTGGTTCACCGATCCCTTGTTGTCACATGACTTTCCGAGTGTTCTCCGCCTGTTACTCATCGAGTGTTATCTATTCATTTTAAAGAAACCCAGTAAACCTGGCAGTGTTAAAACTGAACGAGCAGGGGCTTTTGGACAAATTGAAAAACAAATGGTGGTACGACAAGGGCGAGTGCGGCAGCGGGGGAGGTGACTCCAAGGTCAGCCTCAGTAAGAAAACCTAGTGGGTATAAACGGCATGGATAGTAACCAGCAACCACACTGCCTTTGCATTCAAACACCTGGGGAGAGCAAACCCTCTTGGACACTTCTCTCTCCCTCTCTCTCTCTCCCTTGGTGAGGACATGTGCTCTCCTTGATTAATGATGACATGGGAAAGGAGTACATGAGACTAGATGTGCCTGCATGGCCATTGTGGCAACTCTTCTTTTAGAAGAACGGATTACAATCACTGCTGCTCATAACACTAAAGCTTTCGTAGGATCACATCCCTCCTTTCCCCACTTCCCACCCTTAAAGTTTTGTTGGATCTCTTGAGCATGATCATGGATAGGAGACTGAGATACTGTGCAGGGCTCTGCTTTGGCTGATTGCCCTGCAGATGTTAAGGGTCTGCAGTTGTCAGCATTAGCAAGGCCATTTGCAAGTATCTGTTGGCAGATGGCTGAGGTTGCTGGTTACTCAAAGTGATATAGTAATACTCATCTTGCTATGCTGGAGAAAAGAAGGGTGAGAATGTGTTGGGAGTGGTGGGGATGGTTGGGATGCTGGAGGAGGGCGGGGTGGCCAGATGGAGTATTCAATTGTATCACTTTGTCAATGTATAATTTGTATAATGAATGCTGTGAATGAACTGTCTGTGCTGAATAACATAAAATAACATTGGTAATGTTATTTATGTTATTTCCCCCCCTGGTTTGAAGAGGTCCTGTAAACCTAGCGGTTTTGAAACTCAGTGAGCAAGGCGTCTTAGACAAGCTGAAAAGCAAATGGTGGTACGATAAAGGGGAGTGTGGAAGCAAAGACTCCGGAAGTAAGGTCAGTTATCCCTGAAGAGGTCATGCCTACCCATTGAAAAAAAAAGTGTATTGCCAAAGCCCCCTTGGCCGTAGTAGTATGAAAGTTTAGAACCTCATGGCAGGCAGATTGCCCCCATAGAAAGTGACAGATACTGTTCATGTACAGGGTAACATTACTTTAGTATGCACACATAGAGGGCAAAGCAAATAACAGGTGCCGCATAGAATTGGAACAAAAAATGGCACTCCATAGGGAGCGTAAAGGGAAAGGTGATCTTGATAGCACTGTAAGGAGAAAAGCAAGTACAGCATCACTTACAAGTATTTTGAAGGGGAAAAAAATGATTTCCTGAGTAGAATTTTCATTCAAGACAATGTGACTTAAGTTTCAGAATCCAAGTACAAATGTCATAGTGGCTCTTACACATGCTAACATTACAAATTATATTACATTACCAAACTGGCATTAATGGTTAAAGCATAGGGCCAGAAATCAGGAAACTGTTAGTTCTAGTCCTGCACGTAGCGAGCTGGGTGACTTTGGGCCAGGCACTTTCTCTGAGTCCTAGGAAGAAGGCAATGGCAAGCTATTTCCAAAAAATATTGCCAAGTAAACTGCATATACTTGTCCATGTAGTTGCCAGGAGTGAAAACTAACTATCTGTCTGTCTGTCTGTCTGTCTGTCCGTCTGTCCATCTGTCCATCTATCTAATTTAACAATAATATTATTTTGCCTGGATTCCAATTATTTGTTTTAGTGTTTCTAGATTGCTTCTCTGTAAAATAACAATGAAAATTAGTACATATCCATAGCAATAATAGAAAAATTAAAGTACACTCTTACAAACAATTGCAAATAAAAATACAGTTTATGTTACACACTGTCCCCCTGCCCCTCCTCCCCACAAATAGAGGGTTTCAAAACAACAAAATGGGAAGAGAGGTCTAAGGCACATTCAAATGGACCAGGGGAAAAGGCCATTAATAGAAGGATTAAAGTAATCTAATGCATACAGATAGCACTGGAAACCATCCAATGTAAAGAAATTGTATATCTCAGACATCATTATACATTCATTTCCTGTTTCTTTTTCTTGTTTTTTCCTTATACCCTCTTTAAGTGTTTAATTTTAAAAAAAGGAAAGGATAAGATAAAAGGATATAAAAAAAAAAATAGGACTGGAAGTCTGAGGACTTACATCTATGGATCTAAAACAAGCCTGTCATGGATTTCTGTTAGACTGAAATGTGTGATCCTCCAAAGAGGACACCACCATGGCTGAGAGGAGAGTAATGAATGGAAATCATGCCATCTATTATTTTTCATTAGAAAAATGTAGTACACATTTTGGAAGCTAATTAGAATAAGTGTATTTTTTAAAGAAAGTTACATAAACATATATTAAGGCTTAGTCATGATTAGATTAAAACCTATATTATGGAAAGTGTTGAAAATGTAGATGAAATTAAATTATGTACAAAAGAATACATTAGAGATACTTGCATTAAAAAGGGTCTATATCAGATTAACTGTGTAACTGATGTGAAAAGTACATACATTGTGAAAGGATATATTCATAATCTGTAGAACAACTGAAAGGTTTTCAGCATTTTTAACCATTCATTCTGAAATTTGGCAAAATAGAAAAATACAGTATGTAAATTTATTTGGCACTTTTGTAGATGAGATTTAGAATGATTAAGGCATTCATAGCTAGAGCAAGAAAACAAAAAGAATAAACAGAAATTCCCATTGATTGGTTTTGAGAATCTAATTTTTAAAACACTACAAAAATCTTAGATGTAGAGATAGCTCTGACAATAAGTATTTCTTTGGATTTGGAGAGTGTTTAATGAAAGTAATATAGTGTCGTAGATAGAACCAGGTTTTAGGAAAGCAAATGAATAAAAGGAAAGCAAATTTGTAAAGTAGAGGGTATTTTCCAGGTTTTAAACTAATGTGAAGAGAAATAAGCTACATGTCTGAAAGGCAAGAGACATCAACAATACATTTTTGAAGAATATTTGGAAGTAGAAGAATAGAATCAGAATCAGATCATTTCTGAAAATGATCTAGAAAGCTTCCTTTGTGATATAATCATATTCATCATCCCTACTTAGAAGTTAATCTAACTTCTAATTGGTCCAAGACTAATCTCTAAACAAATGTAGGATGATAATTTTAATAAACACTCAAGGAAAACATGATTAGCGGTGGTAATACCACTGGACATTTAGTTTAAACCCCCCCCCCCTCCATATTTTTAACCTCTTGAAGTGAATGGAAATATACTATTATTTCTCTTTTCAAAACCTAACATTATACATAGTTCATCCACCCTACAATTCACTTTCCCTCTACTTTGCCACTGCTTAGATTTTTTATTTTGATGCCACCAACATTTAATCATGGAAATTAATAGGAAAGTCACTATGAAATAAAATTGAAAATTCAAAGAATGGAAAGATAATACAGAAAATAATAATGGTTGAAAATATAGCCCTTGTATTTGCACCTCAAGAAAAAAAAAACTTCAAACAATCCAATATGTATTTTAAATGCTGAATTCTACTCTGTGACCTGTGTAGTAGATGACCCCTTCCCCAATCCCAACCCTAGTCAACAGAACTCAACAGAAAATATAATGGAAGCAAAGTTTAACCATCCATAGACAAATAGTATATTACAATCCCCAATACTGAAATAGGTAACTTACTAAAATACTAAAAACTACAATAGTTCAATACCCTATTTATAAAGATACTAGACAACCCATGACCCATTGGGTCATCATTTCAGAGATATTTCCTTACCTAAACAGAGAAACAGAATGACCACAGGTGGGCATAAAAGTAGTGGGAGTGGGAACAATTTCTGACTTCCTGCTGGCGTACCCATTGACTTTCCTTGTGGGAAGCTGGCAGGGAGCATTGGAAATTTCTCTCCCTCCCTCTCTATTCCTTCTTTCCTTCCTCCCTCCCTCCCTTCTGGTAAGTCTCCCCCACCCACACACCCTCCCACGATCAAGTTTAGACTTCCTGATAGCTTCCCCTTTGACTTGTGGGAAGCTGTCAGGGAGCGTTGGAAAGGAGGATCATGTGACTGTGGCTGACCACAGCAGTGCAGTGGCAGCGCTAAACTGGCAACAACTTTCCCAAATTTCAATCCCACAGGAGTAATGGGTCTCGGATTTTGGTTGCATTCTGTAAGTTATCTCATTTGAGGTACCTTGGTTGAAAAATTGTTGCCCTATGATGCACCATTTTGCCCAACGGAAGGTTACAAACAGTCAAACAGACACAAGAGTTTTAGTAGTATACAAATGAATATTAAGATGCAGCAAGAGCTATAAATTTTCCTTATCATTCTTTCTGACATTCAGCTAATCACTAGAGCCCCAAATTGGGTCAAGCTGCAATCAGAAAATTAAAGAGACCTTCAGCAAAAGAGCTTCGATGTAGGCAGACTTTGATGTAGGCAGCAGGTTTTGTGCTTCTCATTCTGTCTTAGCCCATCTCTTGTCAACTTCTTTGTTAACTCTTTTCTCCCAAATGATGAAATTAGTTCCAGGCAGACCACTTAAGTATCTACATACAAAGAGCATCCCAACTTTCTTCTTCCCAACTGGCTTCTTTCTGTCTCCTTCTACCCACTCACAACCCAGCTGTCAAAGCCTGAACAGAACATAATTCCCTTTTCTCTCCTATTGCTTGCCCTGTATTTTAAACTTGGTAATTCATGCTAAGTGCCCTTCTGCCTTGCATCTGTTCTAAAATCTGTGACTATGTGTACAAAACCCAGTCAGCTGCCTTCTAGAACCAAATTACCCATTCAAGGATATTAGCCTCATAATACGTAAATAGTGGCAAGTAAATAAGCTTTTTTTCCCCTGGCAGTTGCCATGTCATTTGATGAAAGAGAAAATGCTTTAGAAATTATTGCAAAGGAAAATAAAAATTCAAAAAACATCATCAGTGAAATGCATATTCTTGTACTATAAGTGATAAAGTAACCAAAATACATGTGTGTGTGTCTGCATGTCTGTGAATGTCTTGTCTTTCATTGTCCAGTCATCTGTAGCCTCCTTAGTTTCCTACATTACAATTAAATCCCAATAAAAGCCTCTCCTTGGATTATTTATTTATTTATCTTTTATTTATTTATTTTGCAGTAGCAATCATACTGTTCCTACTAAGGAGGAGCCCTGCCTTTGAGAAATTGGAGAATTAGAGAAATTGAAAGAAATCATCCATCCAATTTCTTGGCATATATATAAGTATAGAGGATTTCAAAAGTCTATTTGTTCCTAGCTCTAATATATAATTTATTTCTTCTATTGCCTGTCAGTCCAGTTTCACACTAGTATAACAAATAGTGTTCCGTACTGTGCCTGACGGCATCATTCAGTGTTTCACAGCAGCAGACATTTTTCCCACATTGCTAGTGCAGCATGTCCAGAAGGGAATCAACTTGCTCTTCTCCATCTCTAAAGGATTCTCCTTAACTGAGCACCAAGAGCTTATTCTCACCAAATCTACGACTGTAAACTCTTCAGTGCTTTTAAGGATCTTAAATTCTGTTTTAGAAGATGGGGAAGGAGAGGTCAAGGCAGGCCCCTGACTTTTGAGGTCTTACAGGATTTGATACTTTTATCCCTCCTGTTTAAGATCTACATGAAGACACTGGTAAGGCCATCTATCAACAGGTATCATCAGTTCACTGAAGGGATACTGTTAAGTTCTTTTCCCTAGAGGCTGCTGTGGTCTGGATGGGGAGCAACAGGCTTAAACTCACCACTGACAAGACAGAATGGCTGTGTGTTCCTGATTTTTCTAGTACCATGGACTTCCCACCTTTAGTTCTGAATGAGGTTACACTTCACCAGACAGAACTATTTTACAATTTGGAGGTCCTTGAAGAGCAGGTAGCAGCTATGGCCAGGAGAGCTTTTACCCAGATTCATCTGGTATGGCCTGAGAGTCCATCCTCATATTCATGCCTTAGTTACATCATGTCTCTCTTCCCTGTTGTATATTTTTTTCACAGTAAATTTGATTACTATTCTGATATAATGGCCCATATAAATATTCCATTGATGCCCCCCATTCCAGCAAGGCGGTTAGAGGCAGGTTTTACCGCCACACCTCTTGCTTTATCATAACATAGTTACTTCCACACCCATTGTAGAAATGGGCAGTTTTGAGAAATAGCTTTGTTGATGCCAGAAGAAATCCCCGGAACAAAAGGGGATAAACAGTTGGTGAATCACAAATAAAAGTTCCTAAAACAACAGCTTTCCATGGTAGTCTGCTCTGGGTGGATCCAGGGCATTGGCCACAAGCATTCAATATCCATGCTTGTATCAAAGACCAATGTTAAATGCCTTGGTCTTGTTCTGACTGATGTAAAAGGTGAAGGGAGACCCAGGGAACCTGGGCCTGAAGGAGTTTTTGTCAGGCTGACATAAAACCACAGTGAACAAGATGATGGATAAGCTGCCACTGACTGAAGAGAAGCGGGCAAGGACGAGGCCCGGTCACCATGACAACAAGGCTGGTGCATTTCTCAAAGCCTGGGCTGGCTGCTTACTTTTTACCTGCCAGTCTTCCTGTAACTCTTCCTCTGCAGGAGACAAGCTGTGACATTTACATTCCCACTAATAAGCTGGCTGCATGATGGGCAGCTCCTCGGGAAAGCATCTGTCACAAAGCACAAATGGCAGGGCTCTGCTGCTCCGCAACAGGGTTTTGATTCTCTTGGGCATTTTGTGTGGGAGCGGTGCCTTTCCTCGTGCGCTGTTATTATTAATGCTGTTAAGTCAGGGGCTGGGATCAAAACAGCACGTAAGGCCTTTTAGAGTCAGGAAGGTAAAGCAAGCCCCCGCAGGCAGGAATTGCTTTCTTGCCTCTGCAGTGTTTGCTTGTGACCCTGGTGCCAGTTTCCAACCAGGAAAGAACCGTGACTGCAAGACAATCATCACTCTCGAAGAATCTCTTTGCAATTAGAAATGACATCCTTCTAGCAGAGAAAATGTGAGAGCCAAGTTACAAGAGCTCTCTGAAGTACTTTTCCAAATCTAAATCTACATTGTGACATTATTTCTTTGCATCAGATTCAGTATCTTTCTCCAGTGAAGCTTCAATCAGCCTTGGAAATCCTACTTTGTATGCTATTTTTCCCCTGTCTTGTGAGGTATTGTTGTGACCGTGGGGAAAAACAGGCACACACACTCTAAAAAGCAGACTTGTTCAAGTCTGAATCTTTCTGCTGTTTAAATTAAGATTGATTTAATCTATTTAAATAGAACACATAAACGCTTTGTGATATGTCTCACTGGTACCACACATCCACATTTAAAGGACTATAACACTTACGTACAAATAAACTACTACCATCCAGGACTTTAAAAACCTAGAAAAATGAGATCTAAATCCTGACATGTAGACACAATTAATCTTGAAAGGCTCATCCAATCTTCACATTTTTCTCTTGTCCATGTGCGTGCATGTGTGCATGTTTAATGTAAATATAAAACATATGCTAATCTAATCCTTCAGAATAGGTTTCTGAAAAGACAGACTAAATACCCCTTTTTGTCAGATCAGTGAATAGAAGCATAACATTTTGGCAAGTATTATGACTAAATAAATTGGAGGAGTCTGAAATAGTTACAGTAAATAGTTCCTAGTTTAATAGCTCAATAACATAGTTTAGTGAAGCCATCTATCTTGAGCTTGTTCTGGACTGGAGTTCCTTATTGTATCTCAGAATAATAAAGTTCTGATGAAAATTGTTAATATAACCAAAGGATATATACATGAACATCTCTAGAAAGAACACTGATAATATAAGAGTAATCAGGTCACTCATTACCAGAAATGTATACGTGGAAGATCTCAAGACCATATTGCTGAGAATCCAGAAATAGTTGGAAATACTTGTGAAACATACACATATGCTAAATCTTTCTGTGCTATTTTTAAGTCTGAGAGCCCTTATAGGAATGTTCCTGTGACTTCAGAAATATATAACATTGTTTTTAGCCTGCTCAAGCACTTTTTTTAATAGTAATTTTACAACAATAAAAAACTAATGCAAACGAAAAACAAAAGAAAAATAGAAGGTGCAGAAAAGAAAAAAAATAGAAAAAATTAGAAAAGAATCATAAGAATATAGTGAAGAAAAAAAATATATATATATATAAAGAAATGATTTCCCCCTCCATCACAAGCATAAACAATTTTAGTAACTTATCATCTTCTCTTAAAATACAACAAACGAACTCTTCTTCCCATATCCCACCTCTTATCTATAAACAAATCCTTAAAAACTTAATCATTTCAGTCCTGATCAGCAAAAGTCCGTTAAAGGTTACCAGAGACAACAATATATCTATTCTAACCTTGATCAAACAAACCAACTTTATATTCCTTCCTTTTACTTCTAACAATCCATTTGTAACTTTCTAAAATCAAAGTTTTATTCATCCTTTTGCGATTCATTCCAGAAAAATATATTTAAGTCCTTAAACTTGTAGTTAAAACTTCTTTCACCAAGGATCAAAGGAAACTCACCCAGTGCTGTAAAACTTGTTGATCTAAAGGTTCCTAATAGCTGAAAAGCAGTCAACAAGCAGTCTCCAAAAGTGACTAGAAAAGGAAGTATGTGAACCCAGTGTCCTTAAAGGCACCAACCATGGTTTGAGCAAAAAGATGGCTATTCCCTCGTCTCTCAGAGCTTTAAACTTGCTAGAGACTGTTGTCTTGCGGTCTCCTTGCAAGGAGCAACTGTCTGGAGCACTTGTGGGCGATCTCAAGTCCTCTCCTTGTCCGGAGAGGAATTATGAAGAGCCGGTCTACTCACTGGCTCTTCATTCCGCTGTGGTTGTCAGCTCTGCTTTTAGTGAAGCCATCTTCAATTCACCATTTCTTTCCCGGAAGTCCCCTGCTCAAGCACTTTTTATGAGAATTTCAGGTAAATCCCAACAAATAATCTCTTTTATGTATGTAATAATGAGAAGAGAACCATCTTACAAATTTACTTATTATGGATAGAGAAGATGCTTAAAATAAGTTTCTAATAAAAGTGATTAATTGATGATTAACAATTCTCTTTACCAAGAAAACACTGAGCTTTAAAATGCACCATAAGAGAAATACAAAATCATTATTTTATTAAAGACAGAGGCAATGAAGACAGAAACTTTTAGTGCCACAGCAATCTGAATATTGAACAAAAGGCAAGGAACACGTTAGGATTAAAACAAGCAGTTTTGATTTGTTGCTTAGCAACAGAAATTGCGGGGGAAACAGTCAAAGAAGAGAAGAACAGGCATTTCCAAGAGAGGGAGTTATTTTAGGAGAGGGAAAGTGGAAACTAGTAAATATTAGCTCACAGTAACTATCTTTTTATCAATAATTGAAGCTATATAGGTTAGGTTCCTCCAATCTGATATGCCCTTTGGATATATGAGAACGCAATTCCCATCATCTCGAGGTAGTCTGGATGGAATGATAGGATTCGCAGTTCAATATGCCTGGGGAACAATATCTTGGGGAAGGCTGGTCTAATATTTAAGGGTGATAATTGCATTATCAAGTAAGGTAGACTTAATCATTTCCAAAGAGTTGCAAATCCACTGAAACATTTAATCAACTTTGTGTGTTTGGTGGGAAAAGGATATTAGTAAAAAACAAAGGAAATGGAAATGTCTTAATGTGTTTTTAAAAGTGGTGACTCCCCAGTGTTATCATATTAAGCATTCCTCTTTTGTTCGTCAAGATAAAGTTTGGGTGAACAACTTATTCCTTTCTCCCCATCCCTTCTTCCTTTTCCTTTCTCTTCTAGGACAAAACAAGTGCTTTGAGTCTCAGCAATGTGGCCGGTGTTTTCTACATCCTCATCGGTGGTCTTGGACTAGCCATGCTGGTTGCCTTAATCGAGTTTTGTTACAAGTCCAGAAGTGAATCAAAACGGATGAAGGTGGCAACACATTCACAGGCCTTTCACACCTTCTTTATGATACCATCCAGTCTCCTAATATTCTTTTAGAAATGGATCCAACCAGGATGGTGATTAGGATAGAAAGTCAATATTTTAGGGACAAAACTGACTTTTTTCTGACTGATCTATGTAGTGTTCAGTTGAGTGAGACAATTTACTGAAAATGGTTTGTGGCCAGGATTGTCAGGAGTTATGGAAAAATGTTTTTAACTTGACAATGATTCTGTAGGCATCCTTAATTCAACAAGTCATGATCGATCACAACAGTCATTAGACTGCCTCTCAATCTTTACTAAAATGGAAGTGATCTAGGCTAATTAGGTTGGCCTTGGAAAGCATTTTAAGAGTCTGTCCTTGACTAGTTAAGAAGACAGTTTGATATTTTAGCATCTAGACAAAAGAGAAAACTGCTTTATACCAGCTTGGAACATTTTAGTTGACTATTATCTATACTGATTGGAAATAACTTTCTGAGGTTTCAAGAAGATTCTTTCCCAGGCCAATGTGGAAATGCCAGAGAATACTGTAAACTAGGAACCATTTGTTTGCAAAGCATGCAATCGGCCACTACGGTACTGTCGTTCCCTGTAGTACAAGTTGTTTTCAGTTGCTGCATTGCTGGGAGAATACTCAGAGAAGAGGCTGCTCGGGAAAGATTCACAAATTTCAAATGTGTGGTTTTTGCTGATATATATAGCTCAGATAATTTTAAGAAGCTTCACCCTTCTTATGCAACTGTGAGGCAGTTTCATACCTACAACTGCTCAGGGTGCCTTTACATATGAAACTTACATAGCCTTGACTTAACTATCACAAAAGCAGCTTATTATAGCAGCTGCCTACTTAATTAAAACACTTTTTATAAAGAGGCTTGAAGATTTTAGCTGTAATATTAATTCCTTTTCCTATGTAGAAAAGCCTTACTTTGCAGAATCAGGAAAATGTGTGGTTGTTAATTTATATTTGTAAGAAATATCAGGAGCAATACAGCTTTTGCCCATTTTTAGTTCAGCTGTCTGTAAAGTAATGGAATATTTAGCCTCTGCCTTTCTAGTTGTAACTAATTTTAGTAAATTAAGTTCAATTATTAATATACATGTGTTAAAAGGATACATGAAGGCACTTTTCTTCCAATTCAGCTTTTCCTTTTCCCACGGAGTTTTCTAATGCCATTTGCAGAAATGAAGTTCTTAATCATGAAAAAGAGTGGTGCAAGCCAACTTTACACATGGCTGATAAACAGCAACAACCAACATTCCTAATTGATATGCCACATACCTTCAGATGTCATGTATCTATCTATCTGGATGAGGAGAGGAATCCTAAGTAACTGTATTTGAGTGAAGCATTTTCTCTGTGTAATATAGGCATAGATATCTAATCCTCTATAAAGAAACCCAAATTCAACCTTTAAATCCAGGGTTTGTTATATCAGATAAGCCTGTTCTTGCACCATTAGTATTTAGTTTTCCAGCTGATCTTTGGCTATCATTCTGCCAATGTGCAGGACTTTTCTTAATTAGTAAAGGACCAGTCATCAAAGATAGGAAGTCCTGAAAATTTAATCCTTAGGTGAAGGTCAAACTGATCACATACTTAAATGATTCAGGCTGGTGGTTGATATTAACAGTATTAAACAATTAGCAAAGTAATGATTTGTTCATTAATGGCAGAACCTGCCACTATACCATGATAATAAGAACTTGAAAAACACATTTTCAGAAAAGAATTGGCAGGAGGGAGAGAAGGTAGCTTGATTCCCCTCTCACTATCACCAATTCCTACCACTTTTTTCTAGTTTGGGAACTTGGCCAAGAAGGCAAGATAAAAACTTCTTGGGTTATTTGTTTTTTGTTTCTTTTTTGTTTGTGTGTTTGTTTTTTCAGGCAAGAATTTGGAGGTGAGAAAATAATGAAATACTATTCTGTCCACTGATTTTTCATTTTAATCAACCCCCCACTTCCATATTGGTGTTATAAAAAAAATTAAGTTGGAATCTAAATTTCCAATTAGGCTGGCAGTCAGTTGACTTGGCCAAGAAGCCTTTAAATGTGATGTAGTTAATTATTTGTGATTTTCCATTCACTTTGCACATGAGCTAAATTATTTTCCCTTAATTCATGATTTACTACAACCTAAACTACAATCCTATAAGAATCCTCTCATTAGTCAGCCTTCCCAAGTTTTATATATTAAAGATTAGATGTATTTATTTTCTGTGTCTATCATATGCCCTGGATTATGATTCTAGTGATGATAGGCAAAGCTTTAAAACGTGCTGATGTTGCGGTAGATAAATATGACTATTAGTAGCAGTCAGGATTTTTTTCCTGGATTACATAAACTGGATTTTAGAAGCAAATGAATTGCATATAGAAGTTACAAAACTGAACTGGAGCAGGGATTGAGGAAATGATGTATATTATTATTGTTCAGCCATTACCAAGAACAGGGGGGAGACCCCCCCCCTTGTTTCTCTTAAAAAGGGTTTTTGTTTGATCCCACAGCAATCAATCAATGAAGCCATACGGACATCAACCCTCCCCAGAGCATCTGCAGCAGGAACCAGCAGTGGAGAAAATGGACGGGTGGTGAGCCACGATTTTCCCCAAACCATGCAGGAGATTCCATGCATGGGTCACAACTCTGGGATGCCCCTGGGAGCAACGGGATTATAATTGGCCCTTGATGGATCTTCTGGATGAGACCAGGGTCTCCCATGCCCCAGCAAGGGGCCAAAAACAGACCATTCAAGAAGAGGGACAATGCAGTGGATCTTCTAGAAGAAATCAGATCCATTTCCTTTGTTTTCTTTGTGTGTGTGTATGTGTCTGTTTATTTTGCAGTAAATCCACAGGCAGAAGAAAGTACAACCTGTACTGCAATAAGGAGAGGGCAACTGGACTGAACATAATTTGGAGATATCCCTGAGACACGGTTACAGAAACACTGAGGAAGACAGCGCCATTTTGTTTTTAACTTGGTTGTTAATAAGTTCTTAGTGTGTGCAATATATATTTTTATTACTAATTCCCGTGATGTCAGGGTACTATCAGCCCTGCCCTGCTCAAAAGTTTAAAATCAGGTTTAGTTTGGGATGCAAACCATAAATGTCTACACTACTAACAGTGAAAGAGGGGGGACACTTCGAAGCAACAAGACTCTATTGTGTGTTAAAATGGTTGCAACAAGCCTGAGTAGAGTGTTGAAAGAGTTCTCCATTCCCCTGCCAAATGAAGGACTTCTAGGACAGTTGAAAGAGAAGCCTAATATGGAGAAAGGAATAGGAAGATTTTTTTTTTTAAAAAAAGAGTTATGTTGTGTATTCAAATTTGCAAGATCCCAGGTGAGCAGAGATTAGTGCCACCTTTATTCCAGAGCTTGAAAGTAGTTGCCTGAGTTAAACACATCATGGAAAATAAATTGGTGTTCCTGGAATTTGCATTTAACAGGCTACCACATGGACAGGTTACCAGCCAGCCACCTAAGACCAGGGCTATTTCCTGTATATGGGGAAAACCAAGAAAATGTGTGTGTATGTGCACGCGCGTGTGCACATGCACACACAGGTTTGTATGCATGCACACGTGTACACATAAACACATTTCCTTGTCTGCCTTCTCAAAAATGAATAGGCAAATAACAGCCATTTTCTCATTCTTGCACTTCTGTAAATTTTCCTTTCTGTGGCGATTTTTGAGTAGAGAGTCCTGCATTGCCAATTAATCTTAAACATCAGAACTATTTTGAATACATTAGGCTTTTCGGTCTCTCTGGACTACATCTGATGGATATCCCGTGGAGTGACTGGGCTACATATATTTATTATGATACGAGAATAAATCAAGATTTCATTGAATGATGCCAACAAGGAAATGCATTCACCTAGATTCAGCCTTCCTCAATATTTGTTTGCAGCTGACTCCATTTTAAAAAAAACAAACTCAAATCAATTTCAGGAATCAAATCTTGGCCAGCAGCAGCATCTACAGAAAAGCCAACAGGCTGATTTTCCACCTCATCCATCATCATGAATGGAAGTGGAGCACTCAAAACATACCAGCTGGTACCCTGCTTCCTACTGAAAACTTTGTCTCTGATCCAAAATCCAAGCCTGCAATGAAATTCTGAAATTTACAGAGATGTCCAAAGCACTAGAAGGTGGACTTGTTAACTGTATTTCCCCTAGTCACATACATGCTAGCACGCCCATTGAAATAAAAGCTCCACCATGAACAATAAGCTACTTGAGCAGAGCAGAACACTTTCCACTGAAGAGATCTGTGTTAAAGAGGAGTATTTTCCACTTCATCATAGGTCTGGAGGAGGCCCAGCTCTTCTTTCAGTTCCCATCCTCATATATGCATTTGCCCATGACTGGATCATAACACCAGATTTTACAAGGGGCTAAACCTTTATCCAAGTGCCAGTGCAAACTCCACAGGAATTTGTAATATCTAAGATCTGCAGGTAACAATGTGCAAAACACAATGTGCATAGAATGGAGGAAAAGCGGTCAAGGCTTCAGCACAGGCTATAGACTAAAATGACTTTGTGGTGGGGTTTGATATAACATGAGTTTGTTTTGTTTTTCACAAGTGTGATTAACAACTGGCTCTAAAACAAACATTCATACATGACATGTGCTTTTAAAGTGTCAACAGCCACTGAAGTCTGATTTCTAGGAACTGATTTTACCATTCAACACTGTGTTGCTCCATCTACTTCCTCCATTTCTCTTAAGATGGCACTTTCATAAGACTGGCAATATGGAAAATGCAGATCCCCTTAGGAGGGCACAGCATGCCTAACGACTCTTTCTGTCAGTGCCACTGGAAGGCTTCTGTCTCCATCCCTTCATCCAGCTCTCCGTCAAGACTCAGATCTCAGCATCTGATATTAACTTTTCAAGGTCTTGTTCTTGATGTATTATTATTATTATTATTATTATTATTATTATTATTATTATTATTATTATTTTATGTGTG